ACATGATGACATGGCAGGAATTTACTAGGTAAAATGGCTAAATTTTTCCATCAAGAAAAAAAAAATTAATGTGTGTCCTGTTCTTGAATCATTTTACAAGACTGTCCTTTTACCACATTTTCTGTATTATGGCTTTTTGATGTAAGCACCATTTCCTTCAAATTGTTGTTGTTTTTAGTACAGCCAAGTTGACTGGCTTCTTTAAAGTCTTCCAAGTGCTATTTTTGGATAAATACAAGGAGAAATTAATCATGGTGCCCAAAGTATACTATTTCATTACTTTCTGTTAGTCTGGGAAATATGTAACCAGTTTTTCACCCGGAGATTTAAAATGTTCCAATTTATTAGAAAGTACTTGTTACTGGAAGCAGCCAATGTCAGAAGTGTAATAATGGAAGCCATCCCAGCCACCTCTATGCAGGCAATGCCAGTCAGACATTGTGCTGAGACAACAGGCCTGCATCAGCTGAGATGGGGCTTGAAAGGTCTGGAAACCTCCCAATCAAAGATAAGGGTCATGACATCGCTGGCTCTAGAAAGACTCCTTAAAACACACAACTCCCGGGGAAAGGCAACTCCATTTCTAATACATGTCCATTAAAAGAGTACTTTGAGAGTTCACTGGATACCTGAAATACCTGAACAGGTATATAAAAAAAAATCATATCTGCAAATCTGCTACTTATTACGTTCATTCACCAAATTCCTATACATCAGTCAACAGATTCCACAAGTGGCAGATAACTGGTATACCAGCCTAGTTTCATTGCCTACTATGTGCAAAACTTTGGATGTAGAGTTGGAAAAAATTGAAAAGGAAAAAAAGTCTGAGGAGAAAAATGGCGTGAAAAGTCTGTGATTCTTCATCTCCTTTCCTACAAGTAACTTCAATGCACATGTCCTACAGGCTGATTTGATCTTGCTCGTATCTCCTCAATAGTACAAGCCCATTTCTTTGTGTGTTACCCTACTCCTTTCAACCTGTAGTTCTTATCCTCCAAGGCTACCCCATTGCACAACTCCAACACACACTACCCATAAAGTAATGAATACAGAGCCCCTGGAGTTGTATAATGGAGCTCTGGTAGTGCTGTGGTTAAGGAATGGGACTGCTAACCCAAAGGCAGTCAGTTTGAACCCACCAGCCAATCCAGGGGAGAAAAATGAGCAATCTGCTTCCAAAATGATTTATAGCTTTGGAAGCCCAATGGGGGTCACTATGAGTCAAAATCAACTCAATGACAGTGAATCTGTGGAGTTTTTTTGAGGTTGTAAGGTGCCCAACCTGTGTGGTCATGTGGCATCCCTGCCTTCCTCCACTTTTCTCCTCATGCAGATCTCATCAAATTTCAAGGCTCTGATCACCCACCATTGTCCTCATGTGAAAGAAACCTCCCTCAATTTGTCTTACCTAAAAAGTCTCATCTTTTCACAAAATGGTTTTGGGCCCCAAGTTTGCAATGTATTGTACTTGAAAGAAATTCTGGAAACCTGGAATCAATATATAGGTACTGGACCACAATTGCCCTTGAATATCTGCAAAGTATAAATGGTATAATGGGAAGAACATTGAACTGAGAGATGGATCTACAGCAAACCATAATTAACTTTCTGTGTAACTTGGGCAAGTCAAATAACTTGTCTGAGCATTGGTTTACATTTGTGATATAAAGAAGGTAGACAAAACACCTCAAAAGGTATCTGTCAGCACCAATGTTTTACAAAACTTTGGACACCACCTCCACATTAAGGGCATTTTAGTCATATATTTGCTATCAGTTGTTGAGTCAGTTCTGACTCACAGGGACCTCATGTGTGCAGAATAGAAGTGAGTTCCAAAGGGTTTTGAAGGCTGTGACTGTTCGGAAGCATATTGTCAGGCTTTCCTTCCAAGACACTTCTGTGAGGGTTTGAACCTCCAATCTTTTGGTTAGTAGTTACATACAGCCACCCCATAAAGGCAGAGCAGTAGGTGTTCTTTGAAGATTTGGGAGACAACTCACTAAATCCTCTACACATGTCATGTAAGATGACATATAGGCCTACCCTGAGGGTGACTTACCTTAAGAGTCATATCCCTGCCTATTGTACCAGCACCAGCTCTAGATTTTTTTTTTTTTTCTTATCTCTGGGCTGGCAAACTTGGCATGTAGCTGTCACATTTTCACCAGTGTACTCACATTTGCTTATGCCAGCCACCTCCCACTCTTAGCTACAACATTCCCACACACACTCATGTGACAATGCTAACAGGACAAATGTCTACTACAAGACGATATATCTACAGCTCTAATTATAGGAACCCTTTCATTTTAAACAAATCTCATATTTCAACCCCCAGTGAGATGGATTGACAGTTTCTGCAATAATGAGCTGAAAAATAGCAAAAATTATGAGGATGGCATAGGACCAGACAGTGTTTGTTCTGTTGTACATAGGGTCACTATGAGTGGGAACTTACTGGGTGGCATCTATCAACAACAACAACAACAATATTGCAACATCTGCATTTACAAACACATATTCTTACAGCTGCTTGTTTGTGTGCATGTGTGTGTATGGGAGATTATTTGCTTTAAATAAATGAATTTACCATGGAATTTCTTAAAATACTGAGTCTTTCATTCCCTTTTTCATCCACTGCCTCCCCAACAAACATCTTTAAATTTCTTGTTTACAGCTGTCATGAATACATCTGTTGTGTAAGATTAGATATCCTGCATTCACAATGAAAGCAAAATGCATTTCATTGGAGCCTGCTGACTAATTTCTTTAATGTCCTGGATATGTGGGCTTACATTTTACATGCTTAGGCTCTGAAACCATATCTCGCAACCCCATGAACACTAGTACCCTATGATTCTTGAATATCTTCCAAGGTCTACCATGATTAACAGTTTTCTGTAGAAACTGGAGTCACCACAGCTGGAGAGAAGTGAGCTGATGGCATTGTTTCTTGAATGTTCCCAAGGTAACATTGTACCTTCTACTCAGATCAAGAGCTGGGAGCTGGGGCAGTTTAAAAACTGAAGTAATATATTCTGTCTCCAAACACAATAAATGTTAGTAGACAAAACATTAACTACACTTCTGGGAGTGGCAAAGATATTTTTAGTAATGGTGGCACTCTGGAAAATTTCATCTCTTGCTGTGAAATGCGAATGTGATTTTTCTCAGCCCATAAATGGTAAGCACGATCACATTTGTTTGTTTTTCTAAACAGGAGTTCTGTGTGTTTTATATTTTTCTTTACTCCAGGGGTTTCCTTATCTCTGTGCACACACCAAAGAGAACAGGAACAGAACACGCTGCCCCCCCCCCCAGTCTAGGATAGGTTGCAAATAATCTCTCTGATGCCAACAGCACGAGTGAGCCAACAAAAGTTTCATTTCATGCAATTGTTAGTATTCCCTTAGAAGCTTATGCAAACTAAGAACATAACAAAAATAGAAAAACAGCAACTCTACTCTTAAGTCATCTTCTCCTTACACACACACAGAAAAGGTTAGTGTTGCCCAATCTCCAGAAATACAATTGTTTTCACAGTTGAGAAATGCAGAATTCCAACTTATTCCTGGATCTCTAAAAATATGGCCTTAATAAGGGGACCTGGCTAATGGTAGGGAGAAAAAAATGATGGGGGTGGCAATGGAAAGAGCTTGTTGTTATTGGTAGGTGCTGTCAAGGAGCTCTGGTGGTGCAGTGAATAAGGGACTTGACTGCTAAGTGGAAGGTCAGCAGTTCAAATCCACCAGCTGTACTGTGGAAGGAAGACTGGGCAATCTACTACCGTAAAGATTTACACCTCAGAAACCCAATGGGGGTTGCTATGAGTCAGAAATGACTCAATAGCAGTGATTTTTTTTTTTTGGCCAATGTGACTTTCAACTCATAGGATCCCATATGGCAGAATAGAAATGCCCCATAGGGTTTTCTAGGCTGTACTCTTTATAGGAGAAGATTGCCAGGTCTGTCTTCTGCAGAGCTGCTGGTCGAGTTCCATCAATCAACCTTCAGTTAGTAGTCAAGTACTTAACTATTTTGACACCAGGGCTTCTTAGTAGAAAGAGTACTGAATCAAGAATCAGGAAACTTGGGCTTTAATTTCAGCTCTTCTGTCAACCCCCTTTGAGATTTAGGCAAACCATTTAAACTTTGCGGACCTCAGTTTTCTCATTGATAAAATAATAGTCACTTTCTCACACACAAAAACAAAAAAAGGATTTCTCCACATTAACTGAGATCTCATGAAGTAAGAGACTAGACAATACTTTGGGAAAGTATTAGGCTCTTCTCAATGTCTTGCTCATTTGGGTGCATCTCAACTTCTGTGAAATGACAGAATATTGAGGCTAAAAGTTATGAAAAAAATGAGAAAAAAATAGAGCATTGAGACTGATTTCAGCCACATTTGCTCTCTCCCTGTCTTCCTCTATCCCTCTCTCCATACATATACTTATCCATTCTAATGATCATGATTTTATACATTTTTTTCAACTATAGTCACTGGCTAAATTAGATAACTTAGTGTCCACTAAATGTTACTTGTTGGTGTTGTTAGGTGCCATCTAGCAATTCCAACTCATAGAGACTCAAAGTACAACATAAAGAAACAATGTCTGCTCCTGGACCGTTTCCTCAATCGTTGGTATGTTTGAGCTCATTGTTGCAGCCACTGGGTTATTCCATCTCCTTGAGGGTCTTTTCTTTTTCAATGAGTTTAAGTGTTGGTACTTGCATTAAATTATTACCAAAGTTATATAATAAAGAAATAGTCTGCTTCTATGGATGTTTGAAGTTGGAATCAGCACTCATTCATTCATTCATTCATTCATTATTTATTCGGTGCAAACTTGTGCCAGGCATTAGGGATTTAGAAATGAACAGAAAGACTTAGTCCCTTTCTCTATGAAGTCTACAATCCAGTAAGAGAAATAGGTTCTTAGTCTTTATGGCGTTTAGGAACTAGAGAAATAATAGTGGAGAAAATTTGACTCTACCTGCAACTCCCCCTCCATTATACTGAGTAGCTGAATGAGGTCTTCTTTAGATAACTCCAGAGACTTCTTATTCTTTCTCTCACTTTCTCCAGATGGTTTTAGGTGTCGTTTGATGGTTCCTGAGGCTGTGACATCCTCCTCCTTCCTATTTGATTTGTTCTTCTTTTTCGCATCTTCTGAAAGACTTTTATCATCAGCATTGCTGATGATAGATGACTTGGAGCAGGAGATGTGCCCATTGGATGAACTCTCACTACCTTGATTTCGGGATCTCATTCCCACCTACAACACATGAAAAAAGATGTTCTTTACCACAAACTGAAATTACTTTTTTCAAATACTCAGAAATTTATAGCAGCCTTACAACATCATCATTAAGGAAAAAACAAAAGCTCATTTCCTATTAGTTTCCTTATAGCTATAATGAATGTGTCATTAAGTTCCTCTGGAAAAGGCTTTCATGGTCTTAAAGAAAAATTGATTATAATCTGACAAACACCTCAAGTCAAATAATCAGAGTTAACATCCTCGGTGATAAATCATAATAATAGTACATATCCTTGATATAATGTGATGGCAGTGACACTTGACTTCTGTGGTCTTCCTTTCAAAAACACATAACCCCGTTTAATAATGAGAAAAACATCAGACAAACTGAAATTGAGGGACATTCTGCAAAATCCCTAACTAGTATTCTTCAAAACTACCCAGGTCATCAGATACAGGGAAAAGCAAAGGGAAGAAGTGGGTATAATGTCCAGTGATGTGGAATTGTTTTTCCATAGCTTTTTGGTGTCAGTCATGTACAGTAATAATAAAAGCACCGAGATCTGGAAGAAAGCAGATCAATTTCAAAATCAAAATAAAGAAATATTTTGAGATAAATTAAAGAAAAAAATAAGCAGCAGATGAGATACTAACTTGTCCCCTGACTAGCCCATTAGAATAATTTTGTGATGAATGTTTTGCAGATTCTTTGTCAGTCCCTTAGGAAAAGAACTCTACCAAAAGGTATGCTTCAAACAAACATACTGAACTCAAAGGCTAGGATTTGGAGAGCTGTGAAGAAAACTCTAATACTTGGAGGCCCTACTACAAATTTTACCTACACTTTTAAATATACAGGAAAACCTGTAACAGCTGGAACCTGTGTAAGGTGGAAACCTATCAGAAAAGGAAAACTCAAATATGTTCCACTAAAAGAGAGCAATAGAAAAGTGATTAAGGCTGCACCCTATTAAAAGCAGAAAACTTGAAAAACTGGAAAAACAAGGCAGTTTTCCTTGAGTTCTGGCTCTCACAGGTTTCACTGTAGTAGCTTAGAACACTGGCTTATTTAAAACAAGTCAACTCACAGTATAAATAGTCTTTTCTCTGAACAACTAAGCAGCATGTTTATCATTACTCATTCTAGATAAAATACAGGGGACTTTGTTATCTGAAAGTAGATTTCTTTTATGAACTCAACCATACTGGAGAAATTAAGGGAAACTTTTTAAAACACTAGGTTTATTTAAAAAAAAAAAAAAATACAGTTGTGTGAGTTTTCCTTTCAGAGAGTGAATGTTTAGTTCTTACAACCAATCTTGAAATCTACATTCCTGCTCCTTTTTGGAACTGTACTCTTATAACCAAATGGATCCTTTTGTGTGTATGTGAACCTTCTACAACACCCTAACTTTGAACAATACAAATGGAAGAAGTGGTCCTTGACACTGGAACCCTGCTTTCTGGTTCACTCAATGACTCGTTCTTGGAATTTTAGAGAATATTTTATGCTTTCCTGATGAAAAAAAGAATAGATGTTTCTTAGTAATGGAAGCCAGAGCACTTTGGAGCAGACCTACTGTATTTGATCACAGCTTGTGTGTGGGCAAAGTGGGCTGACTCAAGTGAATAAAAAGTTTCAAATTTAATTCATGATCTGTAACAACATACCACAACTAAGACATATGGACTTCTCAAATTGAACTATGACTCCCAGGACTCCAAAGATTCTTTTTATCTGAAATAATTTTCTCTATAAAATATTTAGGCTATTTGAGTTGATACATCAAGTATTGATTTGACTTCAATTTAGACTGATTGTATGTTAATAGAAATCCCAGACAAAGTTCCCAAAGCATAAGAAGTGAGGTAGTGATGTTTTAAACTTAACTATACACAGTCTTGTATCTCTGTATATGTGTCTAATGTCCCTAAACCTTCTAGGAATTTTATAGAATCTACAGCATTAGGATATTCCTAAAATAGGGAAGCTGTGGTAGCATAGTGCCTAAGGCACTTGTCTGCTAACCAGAAGGCTGGTGGTTCAAACCCATCAGCCACTCCTTGGAAGAAAGGTTGGGCAATCTACTTCTGTAGTGATACTGCCTCGACAACCCAAAGAGGGGTTGCTGTGAGTTGGGGCTGACTCAATGGCACATAACAACAACAACAAAATAGGGAAGATGCCTTTACTCAATCATAATTGTATTTGTAAACATACAGAAAGTGGAGTTTACTTAGTATCAGCTTTCTTTATATTTATTTCTTCCTAAAAATTTCAGCCCCATATCAATGTTCTAAAAATGAATTTTATTTTAGCATTGTATTAATGGTTTTTACAGGAAAAAAATTCCACACATTTTACAATTTTCTATCACCAATCTGTTTGAAAGATTGAGTGTTCTTCCACATTAGCTCACTTTGACTGATGGAAAATCGAATGTAGTAGATGATAATTTTGTCTTAGCCAAAATTTTTCATCTGTGACACTGAGATTTATGATTAATTACTTTTCCTTTCACATACATGCATAGATTTTAGTCTTCTTCTTCTTCTTTTTTTTTTTTTGATAAGCCAAACAGGGTCTTCTACCTTTATCTCCACAACAAAGTTAGCAACAGGCACCTGTTCTATCTCAGGAGTGTATAAGTACTGGAGATAACAAACTAGTCAAGAAATGTTTTAAGAAGGAATTAGCCTGTACCAGAGAGTACAACATAATTTCTCAATAGAGTAATTAAGTCTGCCATCAGTAATATCCATTTTATTCTATTTTGTAGGAAGAAAATGTCTAGACAATACTGGATTTCCATGAATTACATTTAGTGATATTCACACTCTTCCTTCTTTTGGACAGTTCTCATTAGTAAGTGTTTCTTAAGAGCTGCATGTTGTGTTCAGCATTTCACATATAGCATCTCATTTAATTAAATATTCACATCAACCTTGTGAAGTAAGTGCTGCTATTCTCAGTTTTACAAGGGAGGTCACTGAGATTTAAAGAGATTAAGTGGCTTTTCCTGGTATATACAGAAACTCCTAGTGAATAGAAGAGCAAAGATTTGAAACTAGGTCTGACTTCAAAGTCATAATGTTACCTAATCACTATATGGCTTTCCTTTAAGTTCATAAACACATGTAAGTTGGGGGAATAAGTGGAACACCCTATAGACCAGATAATCCACAAATATTTATGAATGCTTACAAAGATGATGTTTTCTTCCTCTGCATTACAGAAATTGAGAAATCCATGTAAATGTGTTCCTCCATAAACCCTCTTGCAAAACTCAGACAGCAATTGAAACTAGGGTACTAAGCAAAAATACATTTTCTAAAGCCATTAGCCTGATGCAGAACTTGTAAAATGATGACTCATTCCCCAAATCTTCCTGAGAAGCATCCTGGTCAATCATTAAGGGAACAGAATCATGGAAACAAGACCCAGAGTCTGAACAAGAACCATCACAGACTCATTGTGTTAAAAGTCCCAGAGCTGAACAATAGAAAACATTTCGTCAGAGTTGGCCAAATGCTGCCCATTGTGCACACTGAGCAGTGGGTAATAGAAAAGGCATCTGGCACTCCAGAGGCTTCTTAAGAGTTGATTGCATTCCTGCATGTTTGGGACATGTAGATAAGCAACTTTCTGAAAGAAGCCAAGAATACTTTTGCTTCATCCAAGTGTATGTCCTTTGAAGAACATTCTCTCCCAAGAAAAAGGTAAAAAAATAAATGAAAGATTCCTATTAAGTTTGCAAATTTTTTTGAATCAATGTTATTTGATTCTCATAGAATCAAAAGCCATGATTCATCATGGCTTCCTGGAGCCATTGAGGCTAGATGAAACTCCAAAGCTCTTGTCCTCAGATAATCTTTAAACCTTAAACCAAAAATATCCCCTGAAAACTTCTTTAAACCAAACAACAGTCTAGCTTAGTAAAGAATATCATGCTCTTTAAAAAATCTATCTATATGGGATTAACTTAAGAACAGCAACTTTCAAGGCTGGAGAGGAATTTTAGTGGGCAGTGACTTTATGGTGATGTGGGAGGAAGAGTTGGGAAAAGAAGGGAGAGAATTGTTGTGCAACTTGGAAAATGTAATCAATGTTACCAAATTTTACATGTAGAAATTATTGAGTTGGTGCATTTTTGCTGTATTTTCAACAACAACAACAACAATAATAATGATGATCAAAGAGCATTTAGCCAAAAATATAGGAATAAGTAATGATAGAAAATTATTTAATTAAAAATGTATTTCTCTAAAAAACAGTTATCTTATTCTAGTCACAAATTCTTCTACTTTTTTTTTTTTTTTCATAGCAATCAGTTAGCAGTAGTTTGGAAAGAATTTACTGAGTATGAAGAAAGGAAAGAGCAAATGTCATTTCAAACTTCCCTCTTATCTATGGTCATTTGCCTTGTCATTCTCTGAGTCATGCTTTTTTTCCATATACTGGACAAGACAAGATATAGTGTCAGATAAATAATATCATTGGAATAAAATTTTGAGTTCTTTATGCTGAATCTATAAGTATTTCATTTGAACAAGTTAAAAGAAAAGAAAAAGTTCTACAGCAATTAAATACCCACTCTAGTTCCCATGCTTCTTCAGCTCCTGTGGATTTTGACCTTGAAGTTCCCCAAGCACTCTTACTCCTGCCCTTAGCCCTTCAGATTTGTCTTTTTGTTGTTGTCATTGCTATGTTTCAACCGTGGTCACAATATACCCCATCTGGACCACCAACAAAAACTTCCTTCCAGCATAGATTAGGTTTTGGGATCTTTCCTATACTTCTCAAGTATCCAACCTCTTTCTATCCCTGCTTTTGTTTTATATGCATACTTTTTTTAAAAGACCTACTTAATTCACAGAGTGAAATGCCAAAATAATTTTGTGTGCATAATTTGTCTTTTAAAATTAGTTTATCAAATTATAAGGAAAAATTATAGTACATAGTAAAAAGGAAAGCAGATAGCAAAAAAGAAAATCTACTTTTTTACAGTGTGGTC